GGAGCTATGAAGGCAAAAGGAGAATGTTTGTAATACATCTACTGTTGTCTTTTATTGAGTACAAAAGCAAATAGATAAAGTATATGATAACAGACAGCATGCAAGCCTATAGTGCAAACTGTTAGGGTTTAAAATTCAGGCCAAAGCAGTAGTTGAATTTGATTTTAAGAAGAAACCCTTTAATGAAATTTTAAAATCAGTTTATTTAGTGATCCAACATTGCCTGAGCAGCGGCGCCATACCTGCCAACTGTCCTGCATCCACAGTCCTGATTTTGGGACCCTCTCCTGTGCTTTTAGAGAAGTCACCATAAAGTGTATTGTGAGAATGTTACATGTTGTGGCTTTGCTTCTCAATCTCAGAGCATTTCTAGCTATACAGGAGAACGTCCAAATTATTATTGTGCATGCAGGATACAAAAGACTTGTCATGCATGATAGCAACAATGGGAAATCAGTCATGTTACAACGACAAAAGTGCATATGAAAATTTTAATAATATGTAGTAAAACAAAATGTCAGCAGTGTAAATAACCCTAAACGTTAGTCGACATTCCAAGAGTTTATGAAAGCCACAAACATAAAGGATGGAGTGAGAGACTAAACTAAATAAAAACTTAACTAAACTAAGCGCTTGTTTGCCTTTCAATCGCTCCAACCCAGGATTTGCCTGGGATTTGAAATACATGCCATCTATCGAGGCATGGTTTGTAAGGGGTCATAAACCACCACCACTTCTGTCAAGGACCATGCCGTGTATTCCAGGGTTGTTCTCACCTCGGACCTAAACAAAGTAATCCAGAGTAAGAATATACAGTCTCCAAGTCAAAAGAAATTTCCTCAAAGGAGTTCTTTATTGGCCAATGTATCTAGTCAATCCACTTTAAAGGGACATTGTAGGCACCCTGACCACTTCAGCTTATTGAAGTGGTCTGGGTGCTGTGTCCCTTAAGCCACTGTCTGCCCTCAGTGGCTGTCTACCACTTTTGGTCCGTTATCTGACGCTGGACGTTCTCACGCTCTGCATTAGGACCTCCAGCATCAGATTTTTCCCCTCAGGAAAGCATTGATTCAATGCTTTCCTATGGGGAGATCTAATTCGCACACAGCATTTGCCACGCATGCACATTAGACCCCGCTCAGGAGGAGGCAGAGCTTCATCCCAGTGCCAAGGGACATCGGCGCGGGGATAAGGTAAGTATATAAAGAGGTTTTAAACCTTTATTTACTGGGGTGTGGGGGGAGCGCGAGGCAGGGTGGAGGCAGAGGGATTGGTAGTGCCAGGAATACAGCTTTGCTCCTGGCACTAAAGTGTCCCTTTAAATCTGAAATTATGTTTGGTTAACATAATTTTAAGGTGGGAAACTCAGCTGGTTCTCTGACTTGAGGTATGGTTTTGTGTCCAACTGTTGCTATAATAAGAAGTGGTGTTAAGGGATACTGGGATTGAGAAGAATTGAGCAAAGTGTGGGAAAGAATGAAAAAAGGAAGTAAATAAAACAAAAGGTAGGGAGATTGGAGGTGTAGCAGAATGTGCTTATGACGTTCTTATATCCTGTTAACAGGAGCCAGCATTATAAAGTGATATGACTGTGAAAATTGATAGTCGTGGTGACCATCTCTTCAGTATCGTTATTATGTAATTTGCGCACACTGTACGATGGGGCCATAAAAAAATCTTCAGGAATGAATGTGGTGGCCAAATGTGTTGAGTATCATGGACAGGTGAGTACTATGGTGGTGATTATGCACAGTCACGGTATAGAAAAGGTTGTCAGCAAGTAACGCTGAGAGAAAAACAGCAAACAAAAAAACATTCCCATCCGCCGGGATTCGATTTTTCTGTATATGTTACAAGAGGTTAATTGCAATAGTGATGATACATATGCAGCACAGTAAAATAAACAACAAAGTAACAAAAGAATATACAGTTTTAATGGGGGCTGAGCATGATAAATAGCCTTTGTGATGGAAGGAGTATGAAATATCTTGAGGGAGACAGTAATATGGGTACCAAGCTGTGTAAAATCAGAAGTACAGAAGAGGCAAAATTACTACACTGTGATAAGGATAACCATAGTATGCACAGTCACAGCTTTGCCAGTATGGGCCAAATATAAGATTAGGAATCAACTGATTGACAGTGGTGCCTGGTGACAAGTGGACAGTATTCCCTCAAATAGTAAGGCCTCAAAATGGGTATATTCAATGGGCGTCACAATAAATGAAGTTACAGCATTCCATAGTTCCTTAGAGTGGTACGGACTGTTTACAAAGCTGGCAGATGTGTCTGTAAAATACAGCTACTGGAAGGTGTATGGTTTGAGCAAGACAAGAAGGGCAGATTTACCACTCAAGTATGTCATGAAGGAGCAGAAGTATACATTTCCAACTATGGATGTTAAAAATAAAATAAAAAATTAATATGTAAGTAAAAACAATGAGTGTATGTAGTCAGGTATCAGCCATGTTGCAGCCTTATAACAGAACTGAGTACAATGAGGATAACGTGGTGACAGTGGAAGGCCCTGGAGTGAGCAAAGTAAGTGGGCTCTTGCTGGTAGTCGAAATAGGTAGTGCATGTCCCAGCACCTTAGAGTGGCTCAGGCTGTGTGTATTGCTGGTGAGTCGGCTATAGGAGGCCTTGGCAGTGTTAGTGACAAGGTGAGTCACTCACATGTTAACTATGATCTGGTATGTTGTGCTGCAGTACCTGACACGGCAAACACCACGATTAGCATTTAACCACTGGTGCAGGGTATATCTGGGGAGTCTCTGCCACTCGCTAGAGCTGATCACGTAAGCAAATGCTCATTGCCTTCATTGCTTAAGGCTTGAAGATATTGCAACTGGGCTGTTGTGGTAACTCAGAGGCCTTGACTTCTGGCTATCACTCACAAGGTCTGATAGAGCGAGTTGGAATAGATGCTATAAGACAGGCTCGATGAATAGAGCAGGTTGGTGTAGCACAGGTGAGCAAGATGGAGAAAGGTAAACTTATCACTTGCAGAGCCAATATGAAACGTGGCCAGAAGTCAGAACTTCCACATTTAACAGAGATCTGTGCAGGTCTTGTTAGCTGTTTTTGTTGGCAGATGTGGTCAATAATACACCCCTTTTACATTCACCAGTGATGCAATGGCCACCAACTTATTTCCGTCTTGGCCCATGTTAGTGTTGACATGTATGTGTCACATCCTGTCCTGCTCTGTGGAGATGTCTGGCTTTGGCTTCTGGTATCCGTACTCTTTTTACAATTCTTGTTTAGTTTTCTTGGTTTTTCTGGTTTTCTATTCTGTGTCTGGTTTTCTGGGTTCATTCCTATATTCCGTTCCTGGAATTCCCAGTCTTTTGGATTCCTTTAAATGTTTGTTTTATGTTGCCACACCCTTTCCTTTTCCATTTATCCTTTCGATTCAGTTGGTTCCTGCAGGCAGTTGCTTCAAATCCTCTATGTGCTGTTTTATTATTGTTTATTTAGTCATGCATATCTAGGCAGGTAGGAACCCACCGTAATTTGAGTACTTTGCCGCAGTGGTGGGCTGCATACATCTTGGCTATTTATGTACGTCTAAATCTCCAATGTTTTACATATATGCACCCTGTTCCAAATTATTATGCAAATTATATTTTTCTCATTTACCTAAATAATTGATGTAAATAACAGTCAGCATAATTCTCATGTTATCAACTATAAAGAGTACAATTCAAATTTTATTGAACAAACCTCCTAATGATAATAGTATTTTTTTTTTAAACATAAAAAACTTACAATGCACTGTTCCAAATTATTACGCACAGTAAGTTTCAAAACACTTTATAGGTCGTAGAGAACTGAAAATTGTCATTTGTTGTGTTTGCAGCATATTTACTGAAATCAAAAGCTATTTCAATCAAACTTATAACAACATTTTAACTTTTTTAACATTTTAACAGGTCACGTTACATTTTAACATAGGACCCCTTATTTGATAGCAGCTTCACAAGTCTTGCATCCATTGAACTTGTGAGTTTTTGGACAGTTTCTGCTTGAATTTGTTTGCAAGATGTCAGAATAGCCTCCCAGAGCTGTTGTTTGGATGCAAACTGCCACCCTCATAGATCTTTTGCTTGAGGATGCTCCAAAGGTTCTCAATAGGATTGAGGTGAGGGGAGGATGGAGGCCACACCATGACTTTCTCTCCTTTTATCCCCATAACAGCCATTAATGCAGAGTTATTCTTTGCAGCATGAGCTGGTGCATTGTCATGCATGAAGAAGATTTTATTACGGAAAGCATAGTTCTTCCTTTTGTACCAGGGAAGAAAGTGGTCACTCAGAAACTCCACATACTTTGCAGAGGTCATCTTTACACCTTCGGGGACCCTAAAGGAGCCGACCAGCTCTCTTCCCATGATTCCGGCCCAAAACATGACTCCACCACCGCCTTGCTGACGTCGCAGCCTTGTTGGAACCGGGTGGCCATCAACCAACCATCCACTACTCCATCCATTTGGACCATCCAGGGTTGCACAGCACTCATCAGTGAACAGGACTGTTTGAAAATTAGTCTTCATGTATTTTTCTGCCCAATGCAGCCGTTTCTGCTTGTGAGCATTGGTTAGTGGTGGCCGAATAGAAGGTTTATGCACAGTTGCAAGACTCTGGAGGACTCTACACCTTGATGTCCGTGGGACTCCAGAGGCACCAGCTTCTTCAAATATCTGTTTGCTGCTATGTAATGGTATTTTAACAGCTGCTCTCTTGATCCGATGCATGGATCTGGCAGAAATCTTCCTCAATGTGCCTTTATCTGCACGAACCCGTCTGTGCTCTTAATCAGCCACAAATCTCTTAAAAGTGCGATGATCACGCTCAAGTTTTCCTGAAAAAAATCGAATGTTTTCATACCTCGTCCAAGGCATTGAACTATTTCACTCTTTTCAGCAGCAGAGAGATCCTTTTTCTTCCCCATATTGCATGAAAATAATGCTTAATAATGTGGAACACCCTCCTTTTGTAGTTTTTCCTTAAATTGGGCTCACCTGGCAATCTAATTATCACAGGTGTCTGAGATTGTTTTCAGTGATCAAAAGAGCCCTGAGACACAATGCCATCCATGAGTTAAACTGAAATACAAAATATATACTCTTTGTGACACTTAAATAGAATTTGCATAATAATTTGGAACAGGGTGTAGTACTTAGTTATGTCTCCTTGTTCTGCATTGCATCTCTGGTCTTGTTTCATTTTGTCTTGCATTCCCAGTTCATGTACAGTACTGTCCTGCCCTGTTCTGGTTTCCCTCGTGTCTTGTGTACATGTTCTGGGTTCTGCTTTCTGTCCTGCTCCGGTTCTGGGTTCTTGTCTTGTTTCTGTACTGGATACATATCTGCTGCAGAGCCTTCCTATCCAGTTCCTGGGAGGTCTGCATATCATCAAGCTCCTAGCTCTAGGGATCCGCAGTAGCTGCATCAGGGCCCTGGTATGTGGCCGCACAAAAGCTGGTGCTCAACACCAGGGGGCGTGTGGTTACCCTGCACCGGGCCCTTGTGGTCCATTACCACGCTGAGACTCCCATCATCATCATCATCATCAGGCACTCAGGGGTCCCGGTCACCATACCGCCACCCGTGACAGTATGGAATATGTAAGCATATTTGATTTGCTATAGCCTGTATACACCTGTGTATGTAGGAATACAAAAAGGAAATCAGCACTAGTGTAGTTACTGATACAGTCCAAATGGCTACTCAAACAACCAAGTCTGGTGTTTCTCTTCACCGGTTGCGTAGAAGACAGATTAAATAATTTACACTCCCAGAAAGTGTAAGTGTAATTCTTCTTCCTTATTTCCTCATCATGTAAAGGATTACTCCATTACCAGTTTTTCGGTTGTCTCTAAGGACATTTATGGCACTCCATTTTATTATATCTGTTTATCTGTCTCCATTAACTACAAAGTAACCACTTTTTTTCTTAATTTTTATATTGACCTAATCTGCCAAAATTAAAATACATTTGACAGTGAATTTCACAAATTAACTGCTTAGACTGTAATAAATATTTGTATGTTTAACATGAAAAAGTAATATGCGATTATTCTTGACCAAGTTTTGATAACTTTAAATCTTTTATATCATACTCTATCTTTTAGGTCTGTCATAAATATTTCACGACTGTGAAGCTGTTGATCTGTAAGTCATCTCATTGATGTAATAGTTTAGCTTTTTTATTATTAATATACATCATATACTACTATACATAGACAACATTGTGACTCATGGACATATCGTGTTTGTATGCATTACCTTTTCCTTGTACTAAATTTGTATTTGTTAAACAAGATAAGAAGTATTTAAATATAGTAATGTTTACTTTTACATGATGATAGCACACCTTTATAATTATATTCTTCATCTCCTTTTGGAGATACTCGGGGTGGTTTTGAGTGTGAGGAAGCATTGGTTTGGCCACACTTGGATCTCTCGAGGGAAATGTTCTCTTGGCCATCTGAAGCAGAATGAGTCCAAGGGCCCACCAGTCCACAGCCTCGTTATAACTCCTGCCCCTCTGCATCTGACAAAATTATTTCATAAAAGTTTCCAGGGTTATTTATTAGTGTATAAATTGTCAGGAATTGAAAATAAATTTTTATTTTTAAGCCAAATTAGCCGAATCGAAAAAAATCTCAAAGTCATCTATCTTTTTATTTATTTTATTGTTTAATATATTAAATTCTAATATTTAAGTCAAAAATGTGAAATTCTTTGAATTCCTAACAATGCACACAATTTGTCAGAGGTTTTTTCATAGAGAAAAGAAAATCGCTGCTGTTATATATAATATTATTCTCATGTTCTGCAAATTTAAATAGGAAACCTTAAAGCAGCACCGACATGCTGAATTTATTGAATTTATCTTTCTCCTATTGTTTCCCCTACTCTTTCTCTTTCAGAATCTGTTCTTTTTTACTTTATTTCTGCTCTAGTTTTCTTTAAAGCATTAGTTAAAGTAGGGACTACTTTTTCTTATATATTTTTTCTACACTTGACTTTCTTTGACTCAAGGAGGAGCTTGAGCCAGCTCCATTTCCTGCGTCAAGGATAAGAGTGGGTACTTTCTCTGACACAGGAAATGGAGCGGAACTTAGCTCCTCCTTGGGTCAAAGATGGTCAAGCATAGGAAAATACATAAGACAAAGTAGTACCTACTTTATCTTATGTTTTAAAAAGAAAACTAGATCAGAAATAAAGAAAAAACAGATTCTGAGAGAGCAAGAGAAGAGGAAACAATAGGAGAAAGGTAAGTTTGGCATGAAGGTGTCACTTTAAAACTGAAATAATAATATACAATCATGCCTTAAATTTATAGTAGTGAAATGTTATCAGCTGGGTCATTCCACCAATCACCACAATAATTTTACATTTGAATGCAATGGATCGCATTGATCATTATCTATGACATACGGCTATATCAACTTGTGCCTTAGCTGACCTTTTACTATTTTTTTTTTTTTGCCTTGTGAGCAAATGTTGGTAACATGGGCTTTAACGAAAATGTTACATTGGTATGTATTAAAATTTATGTTAACTTTTTAATAGAGGCAAATGGTGGAAAGCACCTTGTGATGAGAGCAATCTCGCCACATTGCATTGGAGAAGCCTGGTTGCTCGCCTGTTGCCTTTAGACTATGGCCCCATGTTAAAAGACATCTTTTGTACCTGCAGAAAGGATTTATTCGTTCTTTTCTGCCTGGTGTTCGGTAGATTCAATCTACCGAACAACCACACGAATGACTGGACCACCTGGGAGCTGGAGTGTGCCGGCAATTAGCCTCCCTGAAGCTGCGGTTAACCGCAGCTTAATTGACGAATGCGAGGTGGCCGCCATTCGTATCACGAACATGAGGTCGCGGCCATTTTAAACATGCGAACGCACAGCGGTGTTCGACGCTTAATTCATGGAACTAAAATCGGGCACAGTTTTACGCGAACACCGCTGAAGCCGCCGACCTCCCTTCTTGTTCGGTGGAAGTACACGAACGGCCGGTGTTCGGTAGTTTTACCTGTCTATGTTATACCCCAGATAGGAATCCCATGGAGCCCATTCGCATGAAACTGACTGTGTAAAGACTTTGGCTCCATGGCGATTAAACTGTATTCGTGTGGTCTGAGCGCCATTCGCTTAATAATGTGCGCTCAGCCCTGAGCTATCTGGGGATATGTTAAATGTATACTTTTAATGTTATGTGTCTCACATAGTGTATTTTAATAGTAATTTGTGTGTTAGTATCCCCACGTGCATAATGACAATTTGCCTTTGTCTTGGGAGATAATTGAATTACTTCTCAATTATCTCCAAGGCAGAGGGGAGGAAGCCAGGATGCATTGTGGGAATATAATGTGACTGTGTGTCCTATTTGTCAACTTGTCTGTCTTTTGTCACAGTCTCCCATTTGGTCCCCTAGGGGAGTGTCCACCAGGTGGGAGACCTGATTAAATACTGGGCAGGTAGCCCTCATTAAACAGACCACTGCTTCACCCTCAACACAGAGCCTTGTGTCGTCTTTGGGGGGGATTTACTGAATGCTGATAGAGACTGATTGCTAGGAGTGTAAGCTGCTTGGATGCTTTTCCTATTCGTCTGCTAGCAGTGATTCATATGTTTCCAGTTTGTGTGTTTGGAGTGCTATATTGGATGCCGTTCGGGAGTTTGGAGCATTCCCTTACTGGCGGTTCGTGAGTTTGGTGTTCTACAATAGCTGTGCCTGCATCTCTGGAAAGGGGGACAATCGCCTAAACGGTTTTTACCCCTTGTGTGCAAAACGGTCCGTTACACACCTCCACATACGTTTTATGTTATGGGGAAGTATAACTTTTTAATTGGCCACTTATTGGAATAAATATGATCGTGCCTACCCTATCTTCCTCCTCAACAAATTGGCTGAGGATTATAGGAGGATGCTGGAGATGTCTACTCACAATTGGGACCTCCTTGTGACACCCAGTAATCAAATATAACTTTATCACTGTTGTTTGCCAGGATTTCTTCCATGTTATTAAGGGTTCTCTTCCTACTAAAATCATGGACATGATTTTCTATTGCTTACTCTGATATAACATTTTAAAGATAATACATGGGCTACATTTTTATTAGTTTTACATAAGATCATTTGTGAGCATTAGTGTTCATGTAAGACTGAACATATCTCATATTCAATTCCAGGGGTTTAAGGCATCATATCTATAGCTATCCTACATTTGCATAGCTACAGGTAGGCTAATGCTATTAGTGTGATGTTTAGGTTTTATTATTTCAAAGTCAAACAGTATCACATAGTAGTTGTGTTCTGTGCCTCACCTCTGGTGCGATAAACCCAGGAGTGCCTGCATATTCCATCGCTGACTTCTTCCCATACATCTTCTCCAGCGCCAGTCCAAAATCTCCAATCCTCAGATGTCCTCCTTCGTCCAATAGGATGTTTTCTGGTTTTAAATCTCTGTAGAGAGAAATACTCTGAACTCTGTTGGTATCTGAGTTTCTAAAAGGTCAGGCATATAACAGGTCAATTAGATCGTTCACTTAAAGGAAAGTAGTGGAAGCCAGGCAATAGGGATAAACAAGCAAATCTCTTCAAGCTCTACCACAGCAAATGACCCTGGGTCAGTGGCAGAACAACGGGGTCGCTGAGGTAATTCTGTCTGTCACAGGATGCCTATAAGCGGGCCACATTAGGGTCCCCATGAAGCGGGAGTCAATGTGCTAAGGCAGAGTAGGCACCAACTTTCCTGGACAACATGTGCCTACTCTGCCCAAATGTGCAGTGTCAGGGGAAAGGCTGAGATGATTATATATTTTAGAATAAGCAACTGCATTGTAAATAAGCAGAATGCACACTGTGAAACTATACCGCTAATATACTAATATATCATATAAACTGATTGTTAGGGGCAGAATGAGTCAGCATCGAATTTCAAAATTATATTTTTATGCTTTTTTTTTTGTTTTCATGTGCATGTATGTAACTGAACCTTATATTGTAGAACATGAATATATGATACAAATTATGTAAATCCAAGTGATAAATCTGAACCTCAATAAACACAAGTAAATCAAACTGCAATCTACTTGTACCAGAATTTGGGACAAAAATTTACTTTTATGAGAAAAAAAACTTTCTAATTCTACTTTTGTTAATATTTTTTGCATTTCTCCTTCACTAGAAGTAATAGAATATTAAGAAGAGAAGGAGGGACATCGGTGCTGGGATCAGGTAAGTAAATAAGGGGGAGGGGTGTAGATTGAGTGATAGTGCCAGGAATACAGCTTTGTATTCCAGTCACTATAGTATCCCTTTAATAGACTCTCATTGCTATAGGTCTAAAATAAACCATCATGGACCCTATTGAAATAATGCAAAATAGCAATACTATTTCACGGCTGTTCTTCATGGTAATATGAAATGATTAATGAAACACTAATAGACAAGTAAGAGGCTCAGCAACAGAGCAATATAATTTCCTGAGATACAACCAAGGAAATGTAAATGAAAGAAAATACTATAACTAAATATAGCTTAAATGGCATTTCTTTATAAATTACTCTGAAAAAAACAATTACCGATGGATTACTCCATGTCTGTGCAGAAACTGCAGACCACATACCAACTCCGCAGCAAAGAATCTGATGGACGAAAATCAAACTATTTATCAGCTACAAAGTATTCCATATAACAAAATAAATTACATTGTATCCCATATAACAAACTTTAAATGTTTATTTTTTCATATTCAAAGAGCTTTATTTGACAACGACTCAGAACAATCAAATTGGCATAATAAGTCTCCAGTGGCCCTGACGAAGGTGCATGTAGTTCTGCACTGAAACACGCGTCGGGCGTTCTTGCTTTTTGTTTTATCACTGGGCACTTTATCTTTCACTAATGGTTAGCATGTTGCTTTGATGGTTCACTCACTTTGTTTTTTAAACTTTTGATCTTTCCTCCTATGTCAGTCTGGCGAGCGTAACAGGGAGAGAGACTTTGACAGTTTACCTTTTTGCCAGTCTTTTACTGGTACTAGCATTTTTCATCTTTCGTTTATCTGCTATATTGTATATACCTATCTGGCCACTTGGCCACCCAGCAGGGTTTATTTGACTCTTTTTAATAGCCCTTCATGCCTCATACAGGCTGACATTATCTTGACTGTTAGGTCCATTTGGTGCTTTGTATACTGACTGACTACATTGCTTCTCTTTCCTTGCAGCTATCAATTGTTCTCACAGGAGCTGACTTGTGTTTAAATATAGAACCATATTTAACCCCTTAAGGACACATGACATGTGTGACATGTCAAGATTCCCTTTTATTCCAGAGGTTTGGTCCTTAAGGGGTTAATAATGCGCATTATTTTTATACCAGCCTTGTGAGACTTTGTACAATACTTTTTTCGAGTTAGGAGGTTTACCGTACAAGGTGGTTTTTGTATTGTATTGTATTTTTTCTTTTAGTACTGTACTGCAAAATCTCAGTGGACATTTACTTAGCTACAGGTTAATTACTAGACATGTGCAATTTGTTTAGTTCCAAATGTGAATTTGGACGAATTTCGGGCAATTCGGATGCTTCCGAATTTCAGAAGTACCGAATCGAACCGAATTGCCGAATTTCGGAAGTGCCGAAGTGCTTCGGATTTCTGAAAAGTGTCAAAACAAGAGAGGGAGGGAAAATTACGTGAATGATGATAGGGTAGAGGTAGGGGTAGGGTTAGCAGTAGGGTTTAGGTTAGGGTTAAGGTTAGGAAGTAGGGTTAGGGTTAAGATTAGGGTTAGGGTTAGTGAGCCCTTGCAGATGTTCCAAATTCCGAAGTCTCGAATTGCAAAGTCCTGAATTTCGGAAGTGCTGAATTTCGGAAGTGCCGTACTGAATTGCCGAAGTGCCGAATTATTTTTTTTACCCGAATTTCCGAACCGAATCAAACTGAATTTTTTGCCCATGCACATCCCTATTATCCCTTGTGGTGAACCTGCATGCTCTGTTTTGTTTTGTCTCTCCAGTGTCAACATTGCATCACGGCATAAATGGTATATTACAAAGATTTAAAAGAAAGTGTAATAGAGTAACAGCACAGGAGTCTCAGCGCCAATGTGCAAAGAGATGGCTCATCATACAAGAACAAAAACAATAAAAACAAAAACATCAGCTTGGTCGAGTCTTCATGTTGATCACTAAGGGATTTGAATTATTACTGAATGGCATTATCATGGTATTGTTTGTAAGTGTTTTTTTAGTTTTTTTCCCTAAAGAATCCCAGTGGAGTTCTTCCATGGATCTAGTTTGCTCAATTTGTAGGACCCATTGTTCTAAAGTAGGAAACTGTGGGAACCTGCAGTAGGCGAGAGGTATTAGTGTCACCTAGCATAATCCACATCACTTTTTATTTGTCTATCTGTGAAAGAGCTTGGCCAACCTAGCAACATCGGGGACTGGGATAGACGGCAGGGAAGTTTCAGGATTGCCTGCAAGGTCAGTATGACCTGATTCCAGAATAAAAAAAGAGTGACAGGTCCACCATACAGTCATAGGAAAAATAAAGTAGACCCTCTTTAAATTCTATTGTTTTACACATCAGGACATTCCAATCACCTGTTCCTTAACAGGTCTTAAAATGAGGTAAATACAGCCTCCGATGAACAACACATGATATATCACACCGTGTCATGATTTATTTAACAAAAATAAAGCCAAAATGGAGAAGCAATGTGTGAAAAACTAAGTACACCCTTACTGCTTCCATAGGAATTAAGAGGCTTAGTAGCAGACAGGTACTTCTAATCAAAAGCCCCTCTATAAAAGCTGAAGTTTTAGCAATTTGCTGGTCATTATTGTTTAAAAAATGAAACTTATATAGAGAGCAGTATTTGTAGTATGGCTTCCCAAGCTCGTTGGTATGCTGAAGGGTGAGGCATGATCTTGTGTTAGATTAGGGCATAAATCTTGGATAGGGTCCTGACTAGGCATATCTCCTCAAATGGGGTCAGGTCTCTTGGTTCCCACTGAAGCAGTACTGACACTCTCAATAAGCACTACAGGTGGGAGATGCCAAGAAATTCTATCTATGTAGGGGTCCTGTTCCTTAGTAGGTCCTTCTCCTAGGGGTCTTTGTTACAAATAACAGTGGTGGCCAGGTTTGTCTGACCACAGCTTGCAGGAAAGGCACGGTACCCTACTTCAGGATATAATGGGGATATCACAGGTGAGAACTTTAAGGACGTGTAATACTTTCATCCTACGTGCGCCCGTTCATTCTCTCATCCTAGAGAACATCTCCGCCAGGAAATAATTATATAAATGGGACAATCCCAGACCTACCTGAGCTCTCTCTTTAGTCAGGGTATGAAAGGCTAATCTAGGATGTTTATGCATCCAGATAAACTTGGAGAGGGCCCCTTCTCATTTTAGAAAAGGTTACAAGAATGTGTATAGAGAGAGTCTTAAAAAAGTACAATATTTTTCGGAGGACCATCATCTTAATGATATTTACCCATCTAATTCTGGTGAACTCATGAAAGTTCTATTAAAAAGACACTATAGTCACCAAACCAACCTAGCTTAATGAAGCAGTTTGGGAGTATAGATCATGCCTTGCATTCTCACTACTTAATTCTCTCCCATTTAGGAGTTAAATCCCATTGTTTATGCAGTTCTATGCACACTTCCCTGCATGTGACCTACACAACCTTCCTAAACACTTCCTGTAAAGTGTCAACTAATGTTTACACTTCCTTTATTTAAATAGAATTTAATTTAGAATTTCTTATCGTCTGCTATGTTAATAGCTTGCTGGACGCTGCAGGATCATCATGTATGTAAGTAAAGCTCAATTTACAGAGTGTTTTCATGCAATGTTGCAGTCTTCATGTCTAGGGTGATTGCCAGGACTAGGAGCTTGCACGTTTACTATCTTGAAAAAACAAAATGTGTGTACAATGATAATGATATACATTATAATGAATGAATATTAAAATATTTATAGATGTCTTTCTTAGATCACTTGTGTAAGACAAAAGTAGAAGACGCGTCTATGATCTAATCTAGTATAACTGAAAAAAATAGGAAGGAAAGAAATGCTCAGATTCTATCACTTATATATATATATATTAGTCAAAATTATTCAAACCCCATTGAAAATCTAGTTTACTGTCAAAATTTACAAACTTTCAGCTGTTTGCAATTAACAAATCAAATAGTTCAACACAATGAATGCTTCAACTTATAATTGACTTATCAAAACTATTCAACCTCTTCATGGCAAGCATCTTTAGTACTTAGTAGAGCACTCTTTTGCTGCTGCAATCAAGATGCATAGTCAGACACCAGCTTCTGGTAGTGTTCCTATCTATCCATCTAAACATTAAAATGGATTTTCTCACACCTCCGAGTGGTATTTTTATTTGTGTATTCCTCATTCTCTCTGAGGGTTCTGTGCAGTATCTAACCTGTTCCTAGAACTAAATTCTTCTGGACAATGATCTTAGATGTCACAACTGGAAGTCTGCTGAGGCCACTCACCTAATTGTGGGTCACAGCCCTAAGTGCTCTTATCACAACTGGGACTACAACTGCCAGGGCATCTATAATATGAATAGGACCCTGGGCAAATCATTTTCCTGGGCCCCCTCCAATTACACCCAACTTCCAACGCAGTGGGGGAACTAAAGTAGAGAGATTCAAAACATACTTACACAGCCATATAGTCTGACAGAAATACTGACACATACACACACAGACAGACATTGACACATTCGTAGATACATACTGACACACACAGACATACTGACACACAAATATTTACTGCCAGAAATATTGACACACATTCAGACATACTGACACACATACAGAGATACACACAGACATACTGACATACACTAACAGACATATTGACATACAGATATACTGACACATACAGACATACACTGGCAGACATACTGACACACACTGACAGACAGACATATTGACACACACGCACACACACACAGTATGCTTGTGTGTGTGTGTCAGTATGTCTGTGTGTGTGTGTCAGTAAGTCTGTGTGTGTCAGTATGTCTGACACACACACAGACAGACATACTGACACACACACACAGACATACTGACACATACAGACATACTGACCCACACAGACATACTGACACAAACACACAGACATACTGACACACATGCTACATTTAGCCACCCTCCAGGTTCTTACCTTTTTCTGGAGGGTGGTATCCCTGGCGTCCAGTGGCAGGCTGGGGCAGTTGGGCGTTATCTTCTGGAACTCCCCTCCTCCCTGCTTTCCTCCTCCCGCAGGGCTCTGATCTCCGGTGGGAGGAAGTGACGCGCGACACTCACTTCCAGCCGGCTTCCGAGCAGGAAGGGGCCTGGTCACGCTGTTTAAGCGCCACATGGCCCGACTGGGCCCCTGCTGACACGTGCCCAAGGGGGGCCTTCTTAGTGTGCGGTGCCTGGTCCATGGGGACTGCACAATTCACGGAGCCCACAAGGGGCCCCCAGGAGCAACTGGGCCCTGCGTTAAAGACGGCCCTGCTGCATTGACTTTTTACATCCTTTCTAGCTTCTCTTTCATTCCTTGGTATTTGTCAGTCTTCTCATGTTCCTTCCTGATGTTATGGTCACTGCGTAGTGCCACATCCACCACCACTACAGTCTTTCTTTCCCTGTCTACCGCAAAGATGTCAGGTTGTTTGGCCACTCATTGCTTGTCTGTCTGGAACTTCCCACAGGATCTTAGTTCTGTCATTCTCAACTACCCTTTGTGGTATGTCCATCCAGCCCATATTCTGTGCAGACATGTTGGTACACAATCCCAGCAACTTGGTTGTGCCTCTCATTGTATGGTGTCCCTGCTAACATCTTGTATCTAGCTAATATGAGCTGGATTGTCTCAGAGGCCTATTTGCACAGTCTGCACCTTGGGTCTTATCTGGTGTTGTACACCCTGCTTTTATTAATCTGTTGCTGTGTGTCTGTTCCTGGGCTGCTAGGTTTAGTGCATCAGTGCTGTCTTTCAGTCCTGCCTTTCCCAAGCCACATCGACTATCTTCAGGAGGTACACCCCATGGAGAGGTTTGTCTTACCATGGAACCTGCTCCTATTCTGCATCCGCTATCTTGTTATTGTCTCAGGCATTCCTTTAGCAGTTCATCCTTAGGAACCATCTTATTGATGTACTTGTTGATGTTCTGTGTTTCATCCAGAACTGTTTCCTTGACACTGAGGCCCCAACCTCCCTCCTTCCAGCTGGTGTACAGTTTTTGGGAGCTGGATTTCGGTTGGAATCCTCCATTCATAGTGAGTAGTTTCCAGGTCTTGACATCCATGGTGACCAGCTCTTCTCTTGGCCAGGATATTATTTCAGCTAAGTACCTGATGACTGACTTGATGATGGCTTGAATCTACCTTGTTATTGCCATTGAGCTAGAAGTACAGGACGTGTCTGACTCTATGAAGGTACTTGGATGTTGATATACTCCTTGTTTCTTCCTCATGGTTGCCATTTGTTTGTGGTACCCCCAGGCACATGTAGCTGTTCTCTAAATCTCCTTCTGTCCTGATCATTTTCCCTCTTTTTACTATCATTCGCCCATACATATCTAGTCTGAATGACATTGCGATGTCCTTGCTGTATATCCTAGTTAGGTGGATTCTGGCGAGTACTAATGGGGGTGCGGTCCGCCCCGGGTGCCATCAATTGGGGGAGTGCCACCAGGGCTGGCCAGGAGTGACTATGTGTGTATGTGTGACTGTCTGCCTGTGATTGTGTGTGTGACTGTCTGCCTGTGATTGTGTGTGTGACTGTGTGTGTGTGTATGTGTGACTGACTGCCTGTGTGACTGTCTGCCTGTGATTGTGTTTGTGTATATCTGTGATTGTGTGTAATTGTGTGTATGTGTTTGTATGTATGTGTTTAGTAGATAGCTCCCTTAGTTGGTGATTGTCTGTGACTGTGTGTGACTGTCTGCCTGTGATTGTCTGTGTGACTCTGTGTGTGGGACTGTCTGCCTGTGTGTATGTGTGTGTGTGTGTGTGAGATTGTCTGCCTGTGATTGTGTGTGTGTGTGTGACTGTCTGCCTGTGATTGTGTGTGTGTGTGTGTGTGTGTGTGTGTGTGTATGCATGGCTGTCTGTGACTGTGTGTGTTTGTGAGACTGTCTGCCTGTGATTGTGTGTGTGTGTGACTGTCTGTGACTGTGTGTGTGTGACTGTCTGCCTGTGATTGTGTGTGTGTGTGAGACTGTCTGCCTGTGTGACTGTCTCCGTGTGTGTGTATGTGTGACTGTCTGCCTGTGGCTGCGTGTTTGACTGTCTGCCTGTAACTGTGTGTGGGACTGTGTGCATCTGACTGTGTCTGACGGTCTTCACCCTGCAGTGAGCCGGCAGCCGGGATATGATGTCATCGCGGCCTCTGCGTCATTACAGGAAGAGCATAGAGATCCCAGCAGCAACCACTGACCACCAGGGACTGAGGATCCACTCCAGCCCTTCTAGAGCAAGGTAGGGAGGCTGGGTGGACCTCTTAATTATTAAATGTGTGTATGTATGTAATGTTTGTGTGTGTATGTGATTGTGTATCTGTTATTGTATGTGTGTGGGTCTGTGATTGTGTTTATGTATATCTGTGATTATATGTGTGATTGTGTGTATCTCTGTGTATGTGTTTAGTAGATAGCTCCCTTATTTGGTGTCCTTAAATATTGCAATCCCACAAAAGGATAACAAATAAGGCATATATCTACTATACAACAGAGGGGGAAGAGTGAGACACAGAGGGGGAATAGAGAGATGGTGGAGGGAGAAGAAAGAGACAGAGGGGAAGAGAGATGTGGGGGAGAGAGAAACACAGGGAAAGGGGGGAGAAAGAGACAGAGGGGGAAGAGAGAGACTGGGAAGGAGAGGGGAGACAGTGGGGGGAGACAAAAAGCCACACAGAGGGTCTGGAGATAAAGAAACACACATAGCACATAGGGGCCGTATATATATCACTGGTGGATCCCCGTTGCCGCCCCCCCACTAGGCTCTCCCCTGCCGGCCGATCTCCCTCCCCGTTCCACAGGCACCGTGCGGGCAGCCGGCAGGTGAGGGAGGAAGAGAGGACCCGGGAGCTCGGCCTGCAGCTCCTCTGGGTCCTTCTCACAGAGCGTTGCAGCGGTTACCACGGCAACGCTCAGGCGCTCACGAGAGTGAACTCTAGCCCCATACACACACTGCCCCCCCCATACACACATTCCCACATACACACACACTGGCCCCACACACACACCATGCACATTTACACACTGCCCCCATGCACACATTGCTACACACATACATACACAGCCCCCCCATACACACATTGCCCCACACACCCTACACATTCACACACTACACCCCCCCCCCACACACTGAACCCCTCACACATTACACCACTGCTCCTATACCTTACTACAGCCCCATATCCCAGCAGACCCCAGGTAAGTTGTCAAAGTTTTCTTAAACGGTTTGACTACTTACTCTGGGAGGAGGGTCCCGGCACTCCTGGCACCATTACCACTACACAGAGCAGTAGTGGTTATTGTGCATGGATTATTTATTAAAATAATCTACAAGTGCCCCTCCTAAGATCAGGCTCTGAATCCGCCACTGGTATATGACATGTATATTAACCCCGTAAGGACTGAGCCAAATGTACACGTTGTGAACGAAACAAAATGTAAACAAAACCTGGCATTTGCGCTACATGTCTGTCCAACAGTAATTCACCTCTTTCATATTAAATACACCCACCGTTATTATATATCATTTTATTCTGGGGAAACAGGGCTTTCATTTAATATCAAATATTTAGCTATGAAACATAATTTAATATGAAAAAAATGGGAGAAAATAATATTTTTTTTTATTTTTATAGTTCTACGTGACATTTTCAACGGCCAATGTCATAATACTCTTATGTGAATATAAAGACATAAAGAATATTCAAGGTAGTATTGGTATATACCAAGTTCTTTATCACTACCCTTCTATTTTGAATATAGCGCTACACCACTAGAGTTTTTGGGTTTCTATTCTTGTAAGATAAGAACTAGGTGTGATAGCAGCTTCTTTAATTATTTGGAACATAGTTCACTGGTTGGGGAATACTTAGCGCTGGTACACCCCTTTTCTTTTTCCTTTACAATGTCATAATACTGTTTGCTTTTACTGCAATAAAATACACATATTTGTATTCAGCAAAGTCTCACGTGTAAAACAGTACCCATAATGGCATATCATTTGCAATAGTAGACAACCCAAGGTTTTGCAAATGGGGTATGTCCAGTCTTTTTTAGTAGCCATTTGGTCACAAACACTGGCAAAAGTTAGCGTTAGTATTTGTTTGTGTGTGAAAAATGCAAAAAACGCCAATTTTGGCCAGTGTTTGTGACTAAGTGGCTACTAAAAAAGACTGGACATATCCTGTTTGCAATACCTTGGGTTGTCTACTATTGCAAATGGTATGCCATCATAGGGGTAATTTTCATTCTTGGGCTACCATAGGGTCTCAAAGGCAACGTAACCAATCTGGCGAATTTTAATGTGAAAAAAATGAAACACAAGCCTTATATTAGATGCTGTAAGTTTTGAAAACACCATAAAACCTGTACATGATGGGGTACTGTTGTACTCGGGAGACTTCGCTGAACACAAATATTTGTGTTTCAAAACAGTAAAAAGTATCACAGCAATAATATTGTCCGTGTAATGCTGTTTGTGCGTGAAAAATGCAAAAAACGTCACTTTTACTGGCGATATCATCGCTGTAATACATTTTACTGTTTTGAAACACTAATATTTGTGTTCAGCGAAGTCTCCCGAGTAGAACAGTACCCCCCATGTACAGGTTTTATGGTGTCTCGGAAAGTTATAGGGTTAAATATAGTGCTAGCAAATTAAATTCCCTTTACTTTCGGCATGGGTTGTCAGGCAGGTCCCGCTAATTGTAATTAATTAAAATACCTAATTATGTAAAAATATTACATAAATATATATGTAGAATTAATATATGTATATATATATATATATATATATATATATATATATATATATATATATATATATATATATATATATACGTATGTG